ATAATTTATTTATGCCATTAATTGTGCTGTCTCACAAATATGCCACACATATTGACTGTATTGCACTCCCAAATTACAGGTGCATTATTACTACTGCCGCTAATACAGTGCAACACCTGTTTTGCATCACACTCTCCACAGCCAATCAAATCGCGGCATTCAATGGCCATAAATCACGCCTTACTATCGCTTTTAACAAAAACATTAATTTCAGACACATTAATCACACGAATAGGTCTCAAACCAAACGGTTATAACATTTATAAATCATTGCAAACATTAAATTCATTAATCGCTACCAAAACGTGTAAATTAGTGCCACAACCCGACCGTCATCGCTAACCCCCATCACGCGTAACCTACTATACGTGAGACCCCATAGCTATCTATCGGCCATTTTTGTGGTGAAAACGCGTTTCGTTTGATTGCAGAAACTCTTTGTCTTTCCGACGCTTCCGATCAGATCCTATCGTAACTGACATTCAGTCCTATTACTGATCACTCATTATAACCACTCATTCGCTCAGTTGACACTCCTTGACGCTTTTGTCACTAAATCAGATCCAAACGACAACACATACGACTCGAAGGTAGGCATTGATTGTCTTCTCGCATGACATTCATTGAGACGATCACTGATTGCCATCGCATTGACCACTGATTATCACTGATGTGTGTATATATGTGTTGTATGTGTGCCGCAGATGGGAGACACAGATCAAGACCTTTTGGACTACGAGGAGGACGACAACGAGACCCAGACTGCGGGCGACGCCATCAACACCGCCGTCGCCGTCGAGGCCAAGAAGGGTGGATATGTGTCCATACATTCCTCGGGTTTTCGCGATTTCCTACTCAAACCGGAACTGTTGCGGGCGATCATTGACTGCGGTTTCGAGCATCCGAGGTATGGCTCACTCTCTAAGAACCCATTGCTTCTATCAATGGCTCTGTAAACGCATGTTTCTATTATCCCTTAACTCCCGATGTCTTGTGCTCTCATAACACGTGTTATTATGCCTTAAATGCATTGCTTATGTCTTGTACGCCTTTAACACGTGTCTTATTATCTCTAACCCCCGGATGGCAGTGAAGTACAGCACGAGTGCATACCTCAGGCCATACTAGGAATGGATATCTTATGTCAGGCGAAGTCCGGTATGGGAAAGACGGCTGTGTTCGTGTTGGCCACTCTGCAGCAGTTGG